TCTGTCTCGTCTCTGTCTCGGTCTCTGTCTCGTCCTCTTCTCGTCTCCCTGTCTTCGTCTGCTGTCTCGCTCTGTCTCGTCTCTGTCTCGTCTCTGTCTCGTTTCTGTCTCGTCCTCTGTCTCGTCTCTGTCTCGTCTGTTTCACGTCTCCGTCTCGTCTCTGTCCCGTCTCTGTTCCCGTCTTCTGTCCCGTCTCTGTCTCGTCTCTGTCTCGTCTCTGTCTCGTCTCTGTCGGGCGTCTCTATCTCGTCTCCTGGTCTCGTCTCTTGGTCTCGTTCGTGTCTACGTCTCTGTCTCGTCCTCATGTCTCGTCTCTGTCTCGTCTCTATGTGTCGTCTCTGTCTCGTCTCTGTTCGTCTCTGTCTCGTCTCTGTCTCGTCTCTGTCCTTCGTCTCCTGTCTCGTCTCTGTCTCGTCTCTGTCTCGTCTCTGTCTCGTCTTCTGTCTCGTCTCTGTCTCGTCTCTGTCTCGTTCGTGGTCTCGTTTGTCTCCGTCTGTCACGTCTTGCGTCTCGGTCTCCGTGTCTCCGTCTCTGTCCCGTCTCTGTCTCGTGTCTGCCTCGTCCTTTGTCTTCGTCGGCTGGTCTCGTCTCTTTTCGTGTCTCGTCTCTGTCTGGTCATCGTGTCTAGTTTCGGGTCTCGTCTCTCGTCTTCACGTCTCTCCACTGTCTTGTTCCGTGACTCGCTCTCAACTACGTGAGCTAAATTCGGTGTCTCGTTTCAGTCTCGCATCGTGTCTCATCACTGTCTCGACCGTGACTCGTTAACGTGGTTCCCAGTCTCGTGTCTCGTCTCACTTTGCCTCTCGTCTCGTCTCTCGTCCCGTTTACACGTCTCGTCTCTCGTCTCGTCTCTCGTCCCGTCTTATCTCTCGTCCCGTATCTGTCTCTTCCCGCGTCTCGTCTCTGTTTCGTTCTCGTCTCGTCTCTCGTCTCGTCTCGTCTCTCGTCTCGTCTCTCGTTCTCGTCTCTTCGTCTCGTCTCTCGTCTCGTCTCTCGTCTCGTCTCTCGTCTTCGTGCTCTCGTCTCGTCTCTCGTCTCGTCTTCTGCGTCTCGTCTCTCGTCTCGGTCTCTCGTCTCGGTCTCTCGTCTCGTCGCTCGTACTCGTCTCTTGTCTCGTCTCTCGTCTCGATCTCCTCGTCTCGTCTCTCGTCTCGTCTCTCGTCTCTCGTCTCTCGTCTCGTCTCTCGTCTCTCGTCTCTTCGTCTTCTCGTTCTCGTCTCGTCTCTCGTTCGTCTCTCGGTCCTCGTCTCGTCTTCGTCTGGTCTCTCGTCTCGTCTTCGTTCACGTCTCTCGTCTCGTCTCTCGTCTCGTCTCTCGTCTCGCTCTCGTCTCGTCTCTCGTCTCGTCTCTCGTCTCTCTCTCGTCTCTCGTCTTCTCGTTCTTCGTTCTCTGCGTCTCGTCTCTCGCTCGTCTCTCGTCTCGTCTCTCGTCTCGTCTCTCGTCTTCGTTCTCTCGCTCGTTCTCTTCGTCTCGTCTCTCGTCCGTCTTCGTCTCTCTCTTCGTCTCGTCTCGTCTCTCGTCTCGTCTCTCGTCTCGTCTCTCGTCTCGTCTCTCGTCTCTTCTCTCGTCTCGTCTCTCGTCCGTTCTCTCGTCTCGTCTCTCGTCTCGTCTCTCGTCTCGTCTCTCGTCTCGTCTCTCGTTCTCGTCTCTCGTCTCGTCTCTCGTTCGTCTCTCGTCTCGTCTCTCGTCTCTCGGCTCTTCGTCTCTCGTCTTCTCGTTCGTCTCTCGTCTCGTCTCTCGTCTTCGTCTCTCGTCTAGTCTCGTCTCTCGTTCTCGTCTCTCGTCTCGTCTCCGTCCTCGTCTCTCGTTCGTCTTCGTCTCGTCTCTCGTCTCTGTTCTCGTCTCGTCGTCTCGTCTCTCGTCTCGTCTCGTCTCGTCTCGTTCGTCTCGTCTCTGTCTCGTCTCTCGTCTCTCGCTCTCGTCTCTCGTCTCTCGTCTCTTCGTCTCGTCTCGTCTCTCGTCTTTCGTCTCGTCTCTCGTTGGCGTCTCTCGGTCTCTCGTCTCTCGGTCTCGTCTCCTCGTCCTCGTCGCGTCTTGTCTCTCGTCTGTCTCTCGTCTCGTCTCTCGTCTCGTCTCTCGTTCCCCTCTCTCGTCTCGTCTCTCGTTCTCGTCTCTCGTCTCGTCTCATCGTCTCTCTCTCGTTCTTCTCGGTCTCTCGTCTCTCGTCTCTTCTCTCGTCTCTCAGTCTCGTCTCTCGTCTCGTCTTCTTCGTCTCGTCTTCGTCTCTCGTCTCGTCCTCTCGTCTCGTTCTCTCGTCTCGTCTCTCGTCTCGTCTCTCGTCTCGTCTCTGGTCTCGTCTCTCGTTCTCGTCTCGCGTTCTCTCTCTCGGCTTCGTCTCTCGATCTCTCGTCTCGTCTCGTCTCGTCTCTCGTCTCGTCTCTCGTCTCTCGTCTCGTCTCTCGTCTCGTCTCTCGTTTCTCGTCTCTCGTCTCGTCTCTCGTCTCGTCTCTCGTCTTCGTCTCTCGTCTCGTCTCTCGTCTCGTCTCTCGTCTTCGTTCTCTCGTCTCGTCTCTCGTCTCGGCTCTCGTCTCGTCTCGCGTCTCGTCTCTCGTCTCGTCTCTCGTCTCGTCTCGTCTCTCGTCTCGTCTCTCGTCTCTT